GCTTTTCTTTCGTAACGCCTGGAACACTTGACGTACGATTTATTCGCTCAATTTTGCTTCCTTCATCCTTTTATTATTCTGCATAATGGGGTAAATACGGTAAATAACATATTTCCTATATCCTGATTTACGTCAGGGAAAATCCGATAGGTATGTCAGGAATTTGTGAAGTGTGTAGTCTATATGGATTTATTGTCTTCTTTCTTCCATTGTTCGCTGCGATGCGACGATGCCGGAATTCGTTCATAATATCAGATATTCAGACATGGAACATTTACCTGCTTTGTTTATTTTAAAGAGCATTGCGATCGCTTGTACAGCTTTTGGCGGTGGATTTTTCGTGTGATTTAAGGGTTGTTAAATCTCACAAATGTTTTAAGAGCATTAGGTATTATTATAAGTAATTTATACGTGTTTTATCGCTTGTTGAGCTTAAATTTTCCAGTTGCTATGGTTCCTTGGCTAGATTAAAGTTAAAGTTTAAAAAATCAGTCCTTAGGCTCTTTCCAGGGCGTTATACACCTCTTCTAGATCTGGATCAAGAGCTTCCTAGTGGTGGTAGATTTCTCTACCATCACTAGGAAGATCATCTGTAGAAATTGGTAATGAAAACGATTAGTACAGAATATTATCTATGTACGAGTGAGGTAATTGAGCAAGTCTTTTAGTTTTCGATTACACCGATTTGGTGGTTAACCCGCCTTTAGTTTGAGAATAATGTTAACAGTATTCGTGCGAAATAATTCAAATAATAGACCGTTATAATTTAATTACACAGTGAGTTGAGAGGTTGAGTCTAAGGGTAATAATTTCTCTTTACAAATAGGCACTATAGTTCATTCAACTTATGATGGTGATTTAGACAGATAAAACGTTTCGTTTTATGATTCTAACTTGCTACGAATAAAAATATTGAGTTGTAAAAAACAATTACTTTTGTGTGTTTTCATCCTTCCAAAATATCAATCACTAATCTTTCTCATTTAACCTAAACAAGAATTTCTAATTATTTATCAGTTTATTATTTAGAAAAAATTGTGAAAAAATATTAAATGAATTGCTTCTGCGTTAGTCGGAACTTTTGCTCATAGGGATGGGACATAAACAATCGCAATAAATCAGTAATCAACATGGTGGTCATCTTACCATCGAATCACGATTATTATCTCAGGCAGGTCAAAGCTAAGTCAGTACGTGTGCGTTTGCCTTTGATGACGGTTTTGTTTTATGCGATTTCTCCACTTATTGTTTGTTATTGTTATTTTGATGTTTTATTGAATAAAAATGCATATATTTAATTCTTTGTGATTTATTTTGTACCACTAAGAATATTCACGTTTATTCCATTTCCAGATAGTTCAAATTCATAGATATAATTTTGATCAAGATTAAAAATCAAACAAATAAAAGGCGATTAGATTTCTATACAAAATATTCTCGATTCTAAAAAATATCGATTAGGTTTATAAGGAGCGCCTCACTAAATAGAACTGTCATAATCACCATCTTACGCTGAATGGACTATAATTATGCGTGATACTCCATATTATGAGCCATTTACGAGTTACGGTATTATGAAAATCGACTTTCAGGTCAGACAGTGAACTAATAATACTAACAATAATATAAAATAGTACTAAGTATAATTTATTGCACGTGCATCGGAATCAATCGAATAAAACTTACAGCATTAATGTAGTGTGGAAGCTAAGTAGGTGAAAAAAGATCCTGTAGGAAATTAAGAGTATAAGTCGAAATGAACGGATTGCTGGCTTTTGAAATTTAATGTTCACGTCACTTGCAAAAATAAAATAAAAATTAGTAAAACAAAAATCTGCCATTAGGTATTTTGCTCGTCAAAGTTGGAGAAGACTATTTATTTAGTTAATTTAATTCACTTGCATCCAAATAAAAAAATATTACATCCGCTTTGTTCCATTTATAAAGAAATTTCTTTATCTTTAGGAAATGATTGATCTAGCTCTACACTCTACATAGTATATAAATCCTATCAAGCATTTATGTACTGTATACAGTACAATTACTATCTATTAACGAATCGCAAATATCGTTGGCGTTTCGTATCGCAACACCGAACCATCCAAAACCGAGCAACGTCATTAATAGAGGGTCATATTCAGTATTACCGTCCTTTGTGCCATAAACGTCTATTAACGGAAAATTTGCCTTTAAACGGATCCATGGTTTGATGTAGGGACGTGCTCATTACGGATTTCGGATATTATTAATAATCTTTTAATAAACAACAACAAAAAATATAGTGACTTGTTTTTGGTCAAGTAAGCAATTTTACAAGTTTGGTATGTTAATGACGATATACATAAAGATGAATACAATTTACGTCTGTATGAAGTTATAGTAGATTTGAAAGAAGATACTTTTACTATAGCTAAAATGCTCATTTCAAAATCTGACTGCAGTTTTTAAGTCTTGAATTCAAATACTTGTTATAAGTTCATTTAGAAACAATCTCTCTCGGTGACAGTTCTATAAAATATCCCATAGTTTCGGTTACAATATCGGATACGAACATCACTAGTGATCGACTCGGTTTGGTACAATAGCTATTGTGCTCAGAGCAAACTTAACACGCGGTCTGTTAACCGGGGACCGGGTTTTGTCTCGGTAAAGCGCAAACGGGCGCTAATTCTGCTCGTCATTATGCTTGATATTATACGCTGTATTATTTTCTCATTCAGGTATTCTTGGGTAACATTACCGATAATAAAATATAGGTAATAAAAAATGTATTTTCTCTTTCTGGCACAATTTCGTTCTATATACATCATTGAAAGGTTTCTAATAAGCTTGGCAACAAAAGCGTCGTTATTCTTCGTTAGACATTAATTTTGACAACGCTAATGTTCATATTTTTTAATTTCTCAAATTCTTACAGATCTTGAGGATCGAAAATCTGGGACATTTACCCGAACATGACGTCATTATCAAACAGCTTTAACCCTCTGAATTCCCAAGGCCGGCACAGTTGATGTCTATTTGCATGACTAACCCAAGCGAGGAACACCCGCACTGTGGTCAACAATGCGACCAGCAATCCGCTCCGTAATGAAGTTAGCGGCGATTGCGCCCGCTCTCCGCTTGCCTCCGCTTGAACTGAATGCGTAGCAATACATAATGAGTGATGCATAAATGCAGGACGCAAGCATATTTTGTTTCGGATATCCGATTGTGCAGCGAATTCGGATCGAAAATGGAAAACACGTTAACTGAAAACAGTTTTATTCGGAAAAACAAAATAAAAAACGTAGTTGCTTAATTCTTACATATTTTTACTAAATACATAGAGATGTTCGTTTTAGTTTAATTTAAAAAATGTCCTTATATAACTTTTTATTTATTAAATTATTATATTTTAATAAAAATAAGTATAAGTAGCAGATTGTTTGGCTTGCGTATTACTACTCTCAGCTTACTACACCAGCTTACGCGTAGCAAATGCATCATTTACCAAAAAGTTAATGAATAAGTTCATCTAAAACCGCAATATAATGCGATCAAGTAATTTATTTGCTGCAACACATCTTCAGAGGTCTCTAAAACAGATCTGTTAATGCCTATTTGCAAAGCTTACCCGCTTTGTGGTCAACAATGCGACCGCTCCATAATGAAGTTAACAACGATTGCGCTCTCCGCTCTCCGCAACCTCCGCTTGAACCCGACGCGTTGCAATATAATGATAGATGCACAAACGCAATCTTACGGCTTGTTTGTAAACTCCGCGGATTCAATTTCCCAAGATGTACGTACCTACAATGAATCGCATTATTACAGAATGCATTATATTTCATGCTTTGAATATGAACAGAAATTACATCAAAGAAAACTTGGAATAAGTTCTTAACTCGGGAACGTTTGTATATCTAATGTTCGTAACTGAATCACGTACGAACGTTTAAATCTATTTTATTGTGTCTTTGAACAACTTTCTGAAAGGAATCTTCTTAACATTTATTTGTAATTCTAAATACAAGATTTCATCCTTTTGTGGATGCTTTTGCCAATTACACTAACATTTAATGTTATAAAGTTAGAAAGTTTGTTTGCTTGAACGTGCTAATCTCAGGAACTACAATGGTCCAATTTGAAAAAATATTTTTTTGTTGGATAGCCCATTTATCGAGTTAGCTTAGGCTATTGTTATAACATCACCCTATAGCCAATAGGGGCAGAGCAGTAAAGATAAATGTGGCAAAAACGGCTAATATTATTCAAACTATTTTCACGCGTAGGTACTTACGTAGTTGCGGGCACACCTAGTACCTAATACGTTTACCTACAACATTCACGTTTCATTGTTGAGGTCTAAGGTAGTATAGCCGAGGTGTCGGGAGGTTGTGATTTGTCGAGTGGGCGTAATGTCGGTCAAAGGTATTGTAGATCGTGTGACCGAACATACGCGTAATGGGTCTCGAAGACCAGCGGTCGGGAGTGAATGAACTTGTAGGAAGGCGTTCACTTCATAAAACAACGTTACGAATACGATACTATGTAGAAAACAAACATTTAACCACTCATTGACATTCAACCGATTATTATTGGCTTGAATCTGATTCGAGTTTTGAGAATTGATACGATATAAAGCACTGGTATAATCGATTTAGAAAATAATTGAAGACGTGCAAAATTAGAAAACAATAGTTCATAGCAAGATTTTAGCTATTTAAGGGTGGATTCGACAAAACCAGAGTAAATATAAATCTCAGAATAAATCGACAGATATTAATTTTGACATATTTCCCATACTGAAACTGTCAATGTGCCAGCTATACCAAGAGTTATTCTCGGATAAAAGTTTGGTCGATTTTGACCTAAGGAGTTTAATTAGTGGTTACGTAGATAATTAAAAATATCATATCTGATATTACACAGCATGGAGTGTTTATTGTCTGCGAAGCGAAATAAATTTCGGCATAGGAGTGATTATAAAACTTAAATGTTTTATTTCTTTTCTCTTGCAGGTGAGTGAATCTTCACTACTTGAGTGCAGCAACGGGCGTTACACGGCGTCCGATACGGTGAGTTAATTTCAAACGTCTACTTGTAAATGTCCAGTTTTATTTGTAGTTACTGTCCTGTGTTAAATGTTCACCCATGTTATTATGGATAATGTGTGTATGTTGATTTTCTTTATCCATTAACATCAGGTTTACTGTCAAAAGCCATTCCTTTTTTAGTTAATTTAAAAGAATCTGATGAAAATAATGCCTAAGTTATACGTCAACAATACAGGATTTAAAACATTGAAACACTACTCCTTTTTGATTCTCAAAAATGCTCATAATCCCCTCTAATTATCTACTTTGTAAAGCTCCAAAAATACAGTCGTTCACGGTCTTAACGAGACGAAAAATACATCAAAATAAAAGTCTAACAGCTAATCAACATGACTTTTCATACTTCAGAAGTATCAAAGGATAGCCAGTCCAGTAAAAGTTATCCGCTTTTTTCGAACTTCATTTGTACATAAATAAACTTTTTCTCTTTACCCCAATGTCTGGAGAGCAGCGAGAATTTACTGAAATCGTATTAACAGATTTCACAGTTTCTAACAGAGATATGGTTGGAAATTTTAAACATTATTTTAATTAAAACAGTCTGTTACTACTTTGTTCTATTTTTGTAAAATCTTATTCTTTTATTTTTGAAACTGTAGGCGAAATATCCTCTTAAATATTGATCAGACATCTAATCGTTTATTTATGAATTAATCAAAGGAATTTGCAAAATCTCTATGTAGGTAGATACTATTCAATTGAATATAACTTTATGAACTCGCAAAAGTGAATCAAATCAATGGGCTCTACCTTAAATAGGGAAAATAAGCCAAATGAATATTGCGATAGGAATAATTCAACCGAGCAAGTCCGAAGCGTCGGCCGCGGCCCACTTGACTCCGCATCTGTTCACGGTTCGAGTCCAAACACTAATTACGGCCCAGTTTTTACCACCTCACTCTAACATGTTCCCACTGCATCCCAGAGGAAAACTTAAAAAAACTCCCGGCAAAACTTCACCATTGTCACATCGGCACAAAGCTCAAATTCCTATGCACCACCATCAACATCACCACCAACTCCTCTTTTACACCAAATTCAATCTTAACTTCAGCACTTACAGTCCGTTTTTGATCCCCAAATTAAAAATCCGGAAATTATACTGCCCTCATTATATAATTTTAAACTCTACCGCGATGTTTGTTAGGACTAATTTCGTTTACGGTTACTAAACATTTTCAAGCTGGTTAGGACTCAAGATTTGTTCGTACACCACGAGTTGGTAATTACTAATAACTGTAATTATTTTCCTTTTATTTTTCATACTGTGTTTTGAGATTGGTTCTCTTGCTGAATATTAAAATTGTTACAGATTTTGTTCGCTTAGAATATAAAGTGGACGGATTTAGATTAGGTACATAGTTTTTTTTGGGAATATACATAGTTTTGTGAAAGATAAACTTGCTTTGTGTGTAAATATTAAAATATTTGCATTGGGTAAAAAAATATTTTGTGTATCCTCACTAAAAAGTACCGCACATGCCAAATTCAAAAATAAAATCACATAGCGTTTCGTGTACTCCCAAATAAACTGCAAATATGCAGAGAATGATGTTCTGTTTTAAAATAAACCGCGGAAGCAAATTCACGTGATTCGTTTAAAACATTCAAGTATGCATGAAACAGATCAATCGGCATATCGGAGCCACCGCAAAACAGACGTAGCATATGCGTCGAATAGCTGCTGAATAATTAAATTGCAATCAAATACCTATTTTGGAATTCCAAAAATCAACGAAACCTACTTCGATGAATGGAATTATACTTGGGAATATAGGAACGAGTTGAAAGAATTTAATTTAAAAATAGTAGAGCACAGTGGCGAGTGATCCGGCGCACTCGCTCGATGCATGTTTACCAATTAGAAGAGTGTGTTCCCCGTGTTGCTCGATTGAAGTTCAATTTATGATTCCGATTCCATTCTGCGACAATTCCGCCGTAACCGTACTCGAACCGAAATATAGTGCACATCGACGCAAGTTTATTTAGGTAACCGTGTTATTTACCTGCGTATTATTCCCGGTCGTTGTATAGCGTGCAAGCAGATAACAGTCTCAATTGCAAAGCGGCACTCGGAGGATAGCCTCACCTCGCGCACGCCGAGACTCGACGAGTTTTTGAATTTTTAAATTACTCATTGTACGATGGAATGTTGCCAGTCGCATACTCCAGCACGAGCATAATTCCCCCGATCGAAAGTGCACCCAACCCCGCAGACTTATGCGCCAAAATTCAACGCCCGCACCACAGCCTTCGAACCTTACGGCTTACAGCCAGTTGTGTACTGGTAAACCTAGAACGACGTCCTCTTGAGTGTGATACTAACGAATGTCGTCCTAAATTTTTGATAGATAAAGTTCAAATATCTGTGACGCTCGATTGCGTTCTTGACATCTCGCTTCTAGACCCTGAGAGATCATTCCGGCGCACTCCCACGTAATCCCTAACTTGACTCACGCGCTTCTTGTAATTTCTGATCTGCAGTATCATTTTAAAAATGCAAGTTGAGTTATGTTCGTATGTAAAGTACTGCGGTGGCTTAGCATAAGAATATCGGGAGTATTGGCAGATTATTCACCTGGAACACGGAGATAAGTGTAGTTATATAGGGCGTTTAACAATAGCAGTTGAAGCGCTCTCGTAAGCAAGAAAGTTATTCCACTTACGCCGAGTAAATCTATGACTGCTCGATTCTTGGTACTCGCGTAAATGCCGGTTATGAATAGTTTTGTTGAGATTGTAAGTTAGCTGGCGACGCTTTCTCAAGTTTCGCGATGAGTTTGTGCTTGCCGCCGCGTCCTAATGAAACATTCATTCTCGCTATTATGACTGTGGGAGGGCGATGCATTCGCGGCTCGCGGATTTTTCACACATGATTTGCATACGTTGTTCTTCGTCACTTTAATTACTCTTTCATATATCACGCCGCTTCATCAACTTGAACGCGCTACAAAGCACTCTCTTATCTTTATGAAGATCATTCTTTGTCAACAATTTGTATATTTCAATGACAGTTTTGCAAAGTATTATTCTGGTTAAGGAAAAATTTCAGGCAGAGCCAATAAAACGTTTGGATGCAGGATTTAATGAGACTGGTGCATCTAAACAAGCGGCTGACTGCATCGTGCATTGTCTTTCATACAAATAATCGTCCAAGTCATCGACAGAACTCGTTCCACTCTGGCGGCGTACCGCGTCGTAGAATGTTATTACCCGGGAAGCGCAGGCGCAGCCGCGTGGGAGCGAGAGAGGGGATGAAGAAAGTGCCGGGAGGGAAAGAGAGGCCAGCCGTGGGAGGAGGCACGGGGTCAGCGAAAGTGCATTGCCACGGCCGCTGTGCGCCGATGGGAAATGTTGTATTCGATGCACCGTGTATGCACCATGGGAAATTTAATGGGAAATGTTTGATTGTGAACCATTGTTGCTATAAATTTTGTGACGTGCAAAGAAAAAATGCCGGTAGTTTGTTTTTCGTTTGACTTTCTACAACTGGTACTATAGCGCCACGTCTGCTTTAAAATATTGCTCTATAATAACATCGGACAACAAATTTTTCATGCTCTAGAGAAACTTTGTTTTGATTTATCAAGAGTAGCTTCAATTCTGGATACCTAAATCATTTGCCGAGCATTCAATCACCGCAAGGTGGCCATCCATGACTCATTTTACAACTTTCCCAATACTAATCGCTTCTTCGTTATCTTCTAATGAAATTACTCCCCAATCCGAATCGTGCTTCATTAATTTTTTACGCGATCTCTTCTTACGATAATTATGCCATTATACATTTATTGGTCTCTCGAAGGAAATTCTCAAAGAAATTCGTGACCTACTTGATAAAACAATTCCATCGGGCACCGAAAAATGATTGAGACATACCTACTTAAACTAATCTCAGGTAATTTTTAAAGGGGGAGTTTCCTTGGAATTCTTTGTTTTCGACAGCGAACAGGCGCACTCTGTCCTGTTGAGTACGAGCCCCACTTGACATGTTTCATTTTTAGCGTTCCTTTAAATGAAACCGGAGCGGGGGCGCTTCTATACGCGGTATCAGCGCTGCGTTCGTGACGTAATAGATTTTTTTTGTTTTTTTGTAATGAATTTGGGGTCGCTCTTAAGATGGAATGGGAAAATTTAATTAGACCTCACTTAAATTACTTCTTACTTAAATTAAACCAATGTCCAATTCACGTTTTGGTAGGTAGGTACATTATAGATCTTCATGTCTACAATGGAAAATATGGCTACACGTAAAGGTCAAGCAATTTGTTACAATACATAATCATATTTGTGTAACTTCTTTGGACTGACTGATTCTATTGTGGAAATAATATTAAAGATTGCTTCGCTCTCCGATTTACATAGAACGTATTTTCCTTAAACATCCCGAAAGCCAAACCTCTCAAAATGATTCCACACAACTCGATACGTCTTACAAGCTGAATACTGTCTAAAAGGAAGGCATTGTGAATACTTTCGACCCAAAATGACCCTTAAACATGTTAGATAGTTCGCCGGGTCACAAATATTGAAAAATGATTTTATCTGATCGGAATTCGAAGGAGAACTCGGACAAACTGAAATAGAAACTTTTCTAATATACTTTAAAAGCATACCACTTATGAATGCTTCAAACGCTGCTGTTTGTATTTATAGCTACGATAGGTAATGCAGTTGCTTTGACTATGGCAAAATATCAAGTAACAGATCCAATAATTTATTCTTAACCTATTCTTGCAACAATTTTAACGCTTAATAGAAATCATGAATACCTGGAATTATGCAAATAAAGAAATTTGATTTGATTTGATCAATGAATATTTCACGAAGCGCAAAAGCAAAACTTCTACCAAGTAAAATCGTGCCATAGGTTTTTATTAAGACCACTGTAAAACCTACAAAAGTAATAATCAAAAACTGGCTAAGTACACAAAACTTGATGGATTACTTCGACGACACAA